TGATGACATCTAAAGGTCAATAGATGATAACAAACTTCGCCTTCTTGTTCTGCTCGATTACTCAAAGGCGTCTGACCGCATCAAACATGTACTTCTTATATCTCTTCTGAATTACCTTGGATTCGCACCGAGTGCAATTGAGTTGATTGGAAATTACTTACAGAACCGATCACAATGTGTCACCTTCAAAAACTCTACGTCGAATCTCATCAATATCTATAACGGTGTTCCGCAAGGGTCCATATGGGGCGCACTACTATTTGTATTATATACATCACAATTTCCAGATTGTTTTCAATACTCTTCTGTCATCTGTTATGCCGATAATACTCAAATCTACATAGAATGCGACGAAGATACTTTTGACATAACACAGAAAAAATTTAATGATGACTTATGTTCTCTGATGAAATTATCAACCATATATTGCTTAACTGTCAATCCCTCTGAGTCAGTAGTTATGCTCTTTGGAAGGAAATGGTCACGTAAACGCAATCTAGACAAGGTTTCTATAACTGCAAACGGAGTTGAGTTACCTCTTAAAGATATTTCTAAAAAGATTCATACGACACGTATCGCAAATTCTGAAGAAACGAGGGTACATCAATCCCAAACTGCTATATTCTAATAGAACACTGTTGAACAAAAACAACAATGCTAATTTCTTGGACGTAGTATATGGTCCCAATATCCTTCAAGCTGACAGGAATGAATTACAAATGCTACAGAATTCATGTGTGAGGCTGATAANACTCACTAGCTGAGTTTTACGATGAATACAGTTATTGCTTTTGTGCATAAGCTGTAGTTAATGTATCAACGTTGTGTATGTAGAGTTGTTATTTGTAACTATATTTCTTTGTGATTTTGTAGTTTCTGTATTTTGTAAAAATTCCAAACAGATGAAACTATATTCATTGTTTGACAAACAATTTTTTTATCTTACATAAAAAATAATTGTTTTATTCTTATAAAAAGTATCCTATGTTATTTCTAATACCTCCAAGAACATGTGTACAGAATTTCATGATGATTGGTTGAGTAGTTTTCGCGTGAAACAGTAACAAACAAACTTACATTCACATTCATAATATTAGTAGGAATAGGGAAGAAGGGATAGGCATAAATGCTCATTGAATGAATTTCATAAAACGTGTGATTATTTTAAAGTGAGAATATTACCGACAATCATTCATGCCTATTAAATAATTGTAAATTATACTTAGATTCTTGTGATGCACTGTTTGGAACCTTTGGCGTAGTAATGAATATTACTGGAGTTTTTTCCCAACACCAAACCGTTATTTCAACACCTCGACACGTGTTTCGATCACGAAGTGATCGTCTTCAAGGGGAGGATCAAACTGATCTTCCTCTTTGATCTTCCTCTTGAAGATGATCACTTGGTGATCGAAACACGTGTCGAGGTATTGAAATAACAGATTGGTGTGGGGAAGAACTATACTAATATTCATTTTATACTTCGATTTTCAATGTCTGTTTTTTTGTTCATATTACTGGGATTTTGATTAATTAAGACCATTTCGTGAAATAGCCTTTTGGACATATTTTTTCTGGATATAAAACTTTCGCTTGATCATATTTAATTTTGTGTCCTGTTTCAATAGAATTTTGAGCTAGTGCACATGAATTTTTAATCTTATCACTTATATCACTTTTGGGTTGAGTTATTCTGTTTGATAATGTTCTGAAAGTTGTTCCAATATAATTCAAATCACAATCATTACGTGGTTTATGTTCGGTCGGTAGCTGGGCGGTTCGACGTGGGTGCTTTGTTCACTCAGTCAGTCGGCCGATGTGTGAGTCGATGGTTCAAGCCCCAGGCTGAACGCTCGATTTTCACTTGCTATCGTCCCACCCGTGTCAGGAATCACACTTTAAAAGGTAAGACCTCGTTGATCCTTAGCTCGCACAAGTTTCAATTTCCGAGGGTTGTCGTTCGTAGGGGTGCGATGGCTAGTTAACGGAAAAAACATACTTTAAACATATTTGAACAACGTTCGATTTTTCGAATCAGGTGTAGAATACTTCAATTGTGTTTTAATATTTTATTATTTTTTTTTCACCGTAGTGTGCGCTGGTCAGGCCCTATCCCCCGAAGCCCCGATACATTCGGGAGAGCGCGCCAGCATCAACAACCAATGACCACTCCCCATACCGTGGGGTAAGTGATCATTGGGTCCGAGAATCATGTGCCCTGAGCAAGCGCAGTGAGCTGAGAATGACAGCCTTCTGCATCTGTGTGGCTAAGATTTCTGCCTTAGTGCGGCAAACCGGTATGATTTTAAGATTCGAGAGTAGAAAGGGCATCATTCCACCAAGGACTCCAATAATCAGAACAACCATCTTGACAGAGTGATCTGGATTATATTCTGCGGAGTTCGAAGAGAAAATCTCGATGTTTTATCCGTTTTTCCTCCTCTTTTCGGACGATATTCGTCTCGCCAGGAGCTGAAAATTCCATGACAAATATCGTCTTGCTCTGGTGGTCGAGAAGGACTACATCAGACTCATTAGCTTGTATGAGCCTGAGGAGTTTCCGACTTCAGCCCACTCGACCTGAGGAAAGCGAAAGTCAGGCTCTTTGATAAGCCAAGGTCTTCAATGTTATTGAAAAAGACCCCATGCATTGGCTCATCCTTGTGTTTCCGTAGAAGTGTGGTGATCTCTGCGGCTTTTATATGAGCTTTTTGCCGAATAGGTTCCAACTCGGTGACAGAGTTGTGTCACCTCGTTCAGTGTCGAAAACTAAACCGAGTTCAAAAGTTGCTCGGGCAGCTGCTCTGAAGAGAAATGCTCCAATTCCTGCTCCTGACGACTTTGCAGCCTATATCCAGTACCATTCTGTCATGTAGACACTTCAAATCCAAAAGTCCACGGCCTCCCTGTTGTCGGGGGAAGTACAACCGTGGGACGGACGATTTGGAATGCAAACTCCTATATTTCTTTGCACCAACTCTGTTCTTCTCCGACAGTTCCGATGACCAGACTGTCGAAGTTTGTGCTGATACTTGCCGCGGAGAGAGAGAGTTTAAGATCATCTATATAAAACAAATGGGTGATATTGTGCCTCCGGTTTCCGAGGGTGCCACAGTTATACTCTCGAGTATTTCTGAGCGCAACGGATAATGGCAATAGTGAGATGCAAAAGAGAAGGGGACTGAGGGAATCGCCCTGAAATACACCCCTTCTGAAAGTGACCCACCCTGTTTGGAATCTGGCTTGACCAGATGTTATGGTGGAGCGAGTTCGCCAAAGTGGTATCAGTTGTTCAATGCATCTTACTATTTACTATCTGAGCAAATGCAAGATGAGCTCATGCGAAATTGTATTAAATGCGTTACGGTAATTGATCCAGAACTTGTATCGAGTCCTGCGTTACACATCTATCGATGAGCAGGTTCTCGTTACATCCAGCGACTCCTCTCTTCGACCCTCTATGCTCATATATCCGTTCGAACACTCGGTCAACTGCGGAGAGTATTCATGTGTATAATATGCTTGTAAACAACTTATAACACGAATTCAAGCATGTTATCGGTCTGAAAATTCTTAGGAATCAACAAATCTCCGGGATAAGAACGGTCCGCCCCTCGACAAACCAATCCGGAATCGGCTGTTCTCCGTTCAGTCATGAGTTGAAAACTCTGGACAGATGGCGGTGGTTACTTGGTAGTTTTTTCCACCAATAAGTGTTCAGCCCATCTGGGCCTGGAGCAGCAGAGTACTTGGAACCCACAAGGGCCCTTCGAACGTCATCCGGGGTTATCAATTTGCGCAGTTTATTAAGCTCAAGCTGTCGAAACTCTCTGTTGAGAGCTTCGAACTACCCTAGGGCTGGAGTGTCTGAGTTGAGTGGCTGCGGTTATTCATAGATATCCTTACAGAAGGATTCCACCTGATCAGCGGTCGGTGGATTATCCACAACACGTGGAGGCTCTTGGAATAAACGAGAAGGTTTCTCGCGGAACATAAGGTTTTCTGCGATACTTCTCGCTCGCCTCACTAGTGAATTCTTAGCAGCCACTAGCATTCGTATCCTATCAAGGCAGTGCTGTTTGGTGGTCAGCAGCACGCCTTGACTCAAAGTGTGATAGATACGTCGTAGTTTGGCGGCTATTCGCCGCACTGCGGGCGTGAAAGGCCTGTTGGCCGCCCTGTGATCTATCACACATTGGATACGAGACGCGTGTTGTCACGACGTCGTGATCTTAGCCTCCATCTTGTGTACACGCCGTTCAATCTTCCGAATCGCAAGGCCGGGATTTCGTCATTCCGATTCGGAAAGCGATTGGACGACGCTATACACGGCGGTGTTGATTTGCCAGATGTCAGTCTCTTCTGTTAGAACACTATGAACCTTCGCATCCAAACAAACCATTTCTTGTGGCTTCAGGGGCCTAATTCTGTGGAGCACCCTGCATTTTCTGATTGTCGTCTCCATTGGTGGTATGGTGCGAGTCTCCTCTCCAGCCGAGCCAACGGGTGGTAGAACTGTCACTTCTACCACTTCGTTAGCAGGCTGGGAAGGAGCTAAATAGCCTTGGCGCCGAAGATAAGATACGTAATCTCTATGGTTTTGGGCGAAAAAAGCGGCATGTTCCGGATTATACAATATCCTTAATTGTATATTCATGAAATATTCTTGGAATATCTATTGCTATGTGGGTCTTCAACTCGAACAAGTATCTACTTCCGAAAGTGGTAGGTGGTACGAGGGCGACAGCTGCTGAAAATTTTTTTTTCAACCCATTATTTCCCCAGATTTCCCACGTGCGATCCCAATAATTCGCACAGTGAGAAAAACGAAAATGATTTCAAAGTTTGTCCTCTTTTCTTCATTGAGGTTATAAATCCAAACATTTTTTTGACACTCAGCAAATGACTAGTGCCGACACTGGAGATATATCGTTCTCACAACTCATATGAAGAATTTAAATTATTTATAAACAGTTCAGTCAAGATTTATTTGTTGAGAATCAAGGTTATCCAACGTTTAGTTTCCGGTTTTTACGACTGTTGATAAGTACAATAATGGATAAATAGTTGAGACTCCAAAGTTATAATCAGTCAATAATGAGTTTTCTAATATAAGGTTGTTCGCGTTTACCAAGTGATCGAATAAAACAAGGCGGATATGGATTTGAATGAGTATTTTCTCGATGGAATTAAAAGTTTTCTGAAATCTCTTGCCATGAAGCAGTGTAAGTGCTTGGCAGAGAAGCACGAACAACTGGATAAATATTCGTTTGATGAGTGCAGAAGTGAACAGTTCTTGAGTAGTTTACATGAAGAATACGAACGTCTTCGTCTTGGTGATAAAAGTGCCCACAATTTAAAGTTAGGGGTATTGAAAACAATAAATGCTTGTGAGGAAAAGTTGAAGGATTTATCATATTGTCCATATGTGCCAACAAAAACAAAGCTTCTCGACAGGTACCCCGAAAAAACATTTTCTCTAGTATATGAAGCGATATTCAATATTTTCTATTATACAGATCAACATTTCAGACAACACAATTTTCATGACTTGTTGTCCTATTACTACACAGTACTGAAACAGGAATTACATTCTGACATCATTTCATCTTTGGATGCAGTGTGGGAAAATATAGTGAGGGCTGTTATTCCTCTTGCGAAGTTACATATTCTATCAACACTCTTTGAGACATCTTCCTTCGGAGATATATTTACGTTTGTTAATCCTTTGATAGTGGAATTGAATGAAATAATGATGTTTCCCAGTATATTGAGAGAAGATTGTTATGAAATAGTGAAAAATAAAGCGGGCACTGAAAATTTCAAACTGATCAACTTTGAATTAGCTCCTTTCAAAGGAAATCCTGGATACCTCGGGGAGTATTTTCAGCTACAGATATCATTTGAACTCGAGAAGAAGGAAATAACATGTCAAATGTTCGCAAAATATATAACGTCGATGAACCAAACATTGAGAGTATTATCTGAAATATCATTCAAGAAAGAGACGTTCATTTACAAACACTTCGTTCCGAAACTTAAAGAATTTGGACTTCAAAATATTGCTAATTTTGCTCCCGAATGTTACTTTATCCGAAATAATGATGTTATGATACTAGAAGATCTCTCAGTATCTAATTACGTCAGTCCGGATCTATCTTCTCCAGAAGATTATGAATGGTGTGTGCTGGCCATTAAAAAGTTGGCTCAATTTCATGCTTGTACTTTTCTATTAGAAAATAGATCAGGCAAGGAAATACAACAAGAATATAAGGAATATTTTCGTGAGGTAATGTGGGCAAAGGAAGACGTGAGCGGTGCAATCATGAAGTGTTCTATTAGAACGACTATTGATTATTTTTTGGAAAAGTTCTCAGATATTTCAAAAGCAATAACCTTAGGTCGCTTCAAAGAGCAGGTTGGAATTGCCTTTGATTCAATGTATGACCATATCGAAGAATCTCAAATTTACAGAAATGTTGTATGCCATGGAGATATATGGGTGAGCAATATACTAACAAAAAAGCAAAACAATATACCAACGGATTGTTATCTCATAGACTTTCAGCTTATCAGATATTCACCTCCAATGGTTGATCTGCTCTTCTTCATATACATGAATACCACCAAAAACATGAGGACAATGTTCAAATATGAACTATTGGATATATATTATGAAACCCTTTCGCATATTTTGAAAATGTATAATGTAGATATCAACACGATCTATAGCAGGGAGATATTTTCACAAGCCTGCGAGGAGTTTGAATCAACAGCGATTTGTCAAGCGATTTGTTATCATCAAATACTACAGTTACCAAAAACAATTTTAGATGTAATCAGAACTGACGAAAATACTTCAAGAAATTTTTTTCAAATTAATCGTAGCAAAATTCTTGACGAAACTTTCGAAAAGGATATGAGGTACAGATCGATAATGAGAGATATGTTAGAAGATTTATATGCTGTTCTGAATGTTTGAAATTAGTTGTATTTTGAGAAACTTTCAATTTTTATGACGCATTACTTTTGGTTTTAATAGCTGCAAAATAGTCCGTAGGCTTTTTACCTTCAAGACAGTTATTCTATATTAGAGAGTACTAAGGAGCTATCAAAGAACTGAAACCTGTATAAATAACTCAAATGATATGTGTGAAAATTAAGAAGTTTTTGCGAAAAGACATTGATTAACATTTTTGGGCACAACTGTGTTAATTTTGTTATCGTTATTACCTATGTTTGTTTTTGATGGAAATATTCCTGAAAGTTTGTAACATATATTATTTTACTTGTTGCCTAATACTCTTATATTTATTTCAGATAATTGTAAATTTGAAGCGCTTACTTCCAATAAATAGTACTGAAATAATCAAGCATTTCGAATGTGATATATTTTTTCATAAGCTTCTTGTATTGCTTTATACTGTATCTAGTGTTTTTGTATAATAACGTGATATAAGGTGCCGTTGGTATATATGAGATGGAACACATACCAATGAACACAGTATGATTACGCCTGAGGAAGCTATTGTATAGCGAAACACGTGTTGCGGTTGTTTTCGGTTTTGGGAACTGTTCAGTGGAAATCTCTAAATGTTACTTGAATAATTCATTGATAAGAAAAAAAATATTCAGCTTTGAGAACTTTCATTCCTAAAAATCAGTGACTCCTAAAAATAAAACCCTCTCAAATTAAAATAATAATAGTAATCGTGTTAATTCCGACAGAATAGGTAACTGTCATTCGAAAGTGTGTAACATTGTTTCGAAAACATTTTCATTGCCAACCAGCTAATACTCCACGAGTAATCTTTAATACACTTAGTCAAATTAGGAGATAGCGAAGGTCTTTGTGGTAGCTGGTTGGTTATCGTGAGTGATTTGTTCTACTCGTTGAAACAACCGCAATTATGAAGCGAGATCGATCTTCACTCTGCATATCGTCTAATCTCTAACAAAAATCATACGTTGAAAGATAAAATCTCATTAATTCTCCTTTCCATCGGTATGTGAACGTTGGTTCACTACAACTGTTGGATTTTTGATTATCGCTGGGTATCTTCTGACGTGTGCTTGGAGTCATACGGTTAAAAGTAAGAGTTCATTAATCCCCAGAGAGCATAGATAATCATAGGATATTCCCTCTGTATCATAAAATGAACGTATATATTCCAAATTTTCATAGAATATTCTTGGAATATATACATGCCTTTGAAATATTCATAGGATATGCTTGAATGCATATGACAGGATTATTCCCGAAAGCATGCGCATAGAATATCTATGAATGGATTATTCTCCCGTTAATATTCTAACAATATTGTCGATACCATATGGTATATTTTTAGAATATATCCCCATGGTATATTTTGGAATATTCTAAAATATTCTATACGTTATATTACTGGAATATTGAATTTTCTTATGATAACGTATTCAAATAATTCGATATTATTAAAAACAATAATATTTGAATATTTCAATCGATTGCATGACCTGATGTATTAACCAGTTTTTGAACTCATCGCGAAGATTCTGATGAATTGTTCTAACAGAGAAATGAGGAAGTGAAGTATTCAAGTAAACGTTTCTCATTGGTCAGTTGAAGTGTAGTGCGCGACAGTCGCGAATCTCTGTGAAAGCGGCTGCCCCTTAACGCTTGGCAGTATGCGTTTAACTTGAAATCGACATTTCGTATAACATGTCGGTTGGTATGGCAGGTTCGCGTGCGTATTGCATGATGTATTGGTGTTATTAATTAAAGTATGTTTAGTTTACCATTTATAGTTTGAGTACAGTGAATAGTTTGCTTTTGCATGTCCAAACAGTAGAGTTACATGATCAGTCTTTAAAAAAAGTAAGGCCCGATTCCATAATATCAGTCAAAAGCACATTTTACCAAAAGGCGCCTTTTCTCAGAAGTCGGCTTTGAATGTCCCAGGTGTTCCATAATCGAAAGTAAAGTCGCACTGAAAGTGCGGTTTTCTTGCATTGAATGATAGTTGGCATCACTGAGCGTACATAAAGTGGGGTTAAATGTGTTTGTTTTGGTTCGTTTTTGCGCTTCGTTGCCTCTGGATTTTTAAGTAATTTGTTTCTTTTCGTGTGGATGGCTTCAAGCAGTTGCAAGAAAAAAAAGGCATCGCCCTTCAGTAAGGAAGAGGAGCTGCGGTTAGTGGAGAAAATCTATGAAGAGAGGAAGTTCATAGAGAACAAAGAAACAAACAAGGTTTCAAATACTGCGAAGGTGAGTTCATTCCAGTTTGTAAAGAATGTGACTGCTCNACGTTCAAACAGATTTTTCAAAATACTATTGTTAAAAATGGTTTGGCCATGAGCCGAGCCTGGCCAACGAGCGACAATGTTCTTTATTCTCAGGTTTGCATCGCTATCAGTTTGAACATTGAGTACGAAGAAGATTTTGCGAGACCTGAATATTTCAGCGTCGGCACCTCCGACAGAATCTATTCTAACCAGTGTTCAATCGATGGCACCTATAACTCTGGGAAATCTTCCTATTCTATAAAATTTTTGAGCACCATTTTCCATCTCTTCCCTGGTAGATCTCATGTTTATGTACCTTTTCCTTAGACCTGCTATCGCACATGACACCTTTACTACTACACTTTTACTATTCTACACGAGGAAGTTTTTGAAATTCCCATGAAACCTCCCGCAGTTATTAGGAAGTTTCCCGTTGCAAAAAATCGGTGCGTTAATAGCAGCTGTTGCATCGGTTTAGTAGCTCCTCCCCAGAAAATTTCAAATATGAAAATGGTATAGATAATATCTTATATCAAATCATCCTTGAACAATATATTATATATCATGGATGTAAATGGTGACATACCTATTGGTACGGGGTGCAAGAACGTTTTCTATTTGCTCCAATAATGAAACAACTGTAATTTCTCTTAGGCGAAACCTATCATAAAATTCTTTCTCACCATATGTAGTCAGGTATGCTCCTCTTTTCCTGTAGACCTTCACTTTCCTCAAATCCACATAATTTTCATCCTCATCGTCATCTGAAGAAATCAACTCAAATCGACGATAATTCATTTTAATGCACGGAAGAAACTGAAATTTATTGGAGGTTATGTTGACAAAAAGCCTCCTTTTGCGAGCAAAAGTCGCGAAATCGACGCTTTAGCATAAAGGACACTTTTACGTAAAGGAGCCTTTAAAAATCCATTATAAAACCGACTTTAAGCATAAAGACAACTTTAGCTCTTAAAAGAGACTTTAACATAGATTATGGAACCGGCCCTAAGTAAAAGACAATAGTATCGATAATAAAGTCATGGTGCTTAACCTTACTGTACCTCATTTTAGGCCCGAGGAGAGTTGGTGCGTGAGATTTGTTGGTTTGACTAAGTACATGTTTAAACTGATTTCAGTTGTGTATCTTCAGTAGAGAAAAGTAAGTGAATGACACATTCTTTTGTATCATATGCTTTCATAATTTTTATCACTCTTTTTCAAGATAGTATCAATATGCCCAAAAGGAAAAGGAGTGGTACCTGGTACAGGCAGATGCGCCAAGTATCTGAAAATGTAATGCGTACTTTTCAACAAGGGAATGCAAGATGCTCTCCAAGTCATAAAAAGTTGTAAATGTTCATGAGGAACCTATGAGAAAAATATCTATTTGATTTCTATTTCAATTTTGTTGTGCCACTTTCAAATTGGGGTAATGAACGTTAT